TGGAAGTAGAGCAGACACCTTTGATTGAACATGTACAAAAATATACTTAAAATACAAATAGGCCATATCTGTGAACAGGTCAGTTATGTATGTTGAGTTTTGATGTGTGTGTGAGCACATGGATGTGATACAAAAAAAACAAAACCAAAGCCAGCAGGGTTAGTTGGAAGGTCAGGGGAAGAGAGAGTGGGAGGAGCTTGCAGTTCTAATTTATAGCATTCTTAGTGCATTGTGTTTAGGTGTGCCGCATCTATGAAAGGACTCAGCTTCACTTTCTGATTTCCTGAAAGAAAAGGAAAAAGCACCAAAAAAAAAAAAAAAACTCTAGATAGTTGCCTTGAAGGGTCACAGTCCATAAAGTCAATCTAGTGACAAAGCCTGACTCTTAGCCACTCCTCTTTATGGAGGACTGTATAGATCAGGTGGGCTCTGCTAACTTTGTTAGCAAGTTTGACTTGCTAAAAGGTTGGCAGGTTCTTTTAACACCTATGGCCAAGGGAAGTAGCCTCTTTTATTACCCCTACTGGCCTTTGCTCTTATACGGTCATGCCATCTGGGCTACATAATGCCCCAGCCACTTTCCAGCACTTAATGAATAAAGCAGTATCTGTTGGAGATTGACCAGTTTCCAGTTCCAACCACCAAAAAGAGCTGTCCTGCTTCTCGGGTATGGTGGGCTACTGTTGTGGGTTTCGACTGGACTCCACAATGAGTCTTTTGAATCTGTGAAGTCTCTACTGTGCTCTGCCCCTGTTGTAGCAGCTCCACAAATGAACACTGGTGCGATGCTTATGCAGGCTCATGAAAATTGTGTCCACTGTCCGGTGAGTTTCTTCTCAAAAAGGTTTAACTCACATGAGTTGAATTACTGTATTGTAGTGAAAACAGCACTTGTGTTCATTTGAGTTTTGAAGCACTTTGAAGTTTATGTGGGAGGATCAAACCCTCTGCTTCTGTTCTCGGAGCATAACCCGCATTCTTTTCAGAATCGTACCCCATAGCAGATATGCTCTTGTCTGTTTCTGCAGCCATTTCATTTAGACATTCAACATGTCAAAGAAGCTGAAAACATTGTGGCTGATGCTATGTCATGTGCCTTTCTTCCTGAAGTTTGACCAGGGTTGTGTGTTCCTGAAGTTGATTTCCTTCCTATTGGTTGTCTTTGTGCTTAAAAAAATGCTTCCTACTGTAGGTGCCAGGGTTGCCAAGGAGATGGGATTTGAAAGGAAATTATTACGTGCAATTTGAAGGATTTCAAAAGGACCCTGAACTAATTATTATTCGTGCACGTCACACTCACCGTGTTTATTTGGCAGGTCAAAGGTTTATTTATTGTCATTCCATCATGGTACATGAAAGAACAAAATTACAATACTCCAGGCCCAGTAGAATCTTAATATATATAAATAAATTTAAAAATCTAAATGAATCCTCCTAAAAAATAATAGTTTATAATATACACTTAATGAGCAACATCTAAAACCAATCATTGCATGACGTACTGTTCATCAGTCTAACAGCTGTGCAGTGTTTCCCTGCTGGTAGATGGTGTTTGACACTTGTTTCTATGATTCTGCAGCACCTGACCTGGGTCACCAAGAAGCATAAAGGACTGCTTTTCTGGGTATTTTGAGGGAGAGTGAGAGAAAACACAATCCTTCCTCCTAGGTTTGATTTGTATTTGCACTTATATTGCACTCGCGGCAATATGACTCTTGCCTACTTACACACCATGTATTTTGATTAGTTATTTTTCTTATTCTGGGTTAAAATAAAACATTTTCATGCAACATAGTTCTGTGTGTGGCCTATCTTTTCTTTACCAGCCATGAGCCAGGTGGTAACAGAATCAGAACAAATTATTGCTCCCTGCACATGTTACACGCATGTATCTAAACATGACCTAGTCCTTAGAAAACATGTGGCTGTTGTCTTGCAATAAAATGTTAGTGAGAAATCTGAAAATCTAAGCACAACAGAATGTTGAAGAGAATGCTGGCTGCATGTCTAATCTGGAAAAAAACATTTCCCACTGGGCTAGCAGGAAGCACAGTGGGCTGAGACCATACCAAGTATGAAAGATATCCCTCTCTGTGTGACCTGACAGGAGATTTCAGTCCTTTGTTGGTATGGTAGTTTGCATGTCCAGCTTCACTGAGGGCAGGATTTGGAGAAAGGTGTGACACAGATACAGCATACTACAGTATTTGGTGACAAATATAAAACTCTATATTGCTATGAGCAAGATAAATATTTATCCCAGCTGAACAATCTTTTCAAGCACAATTCGTGTTTTCCACCACAGACAGTGGTAGCTGTCAGTAAAAATTTGCTCTGAAGTGCATCAAAATTCTGAAAATTGTGTAAATTCTGGCTCTTAGAATTAAGAATGTGTGATACTTAAATGTTCCTAAGTATTACAGGAGAACTGCACCATTTTTTTTTACATTTCAGTGTATTTCCAGGTGTTGTGAAGTATTACTGCCTGTGTGAAAATGTTTTATAATCTTTTGTGTCTCCAGAGATAGTCGCTTGAGTCAAGACTATAAATTTGAAAAATAAAAAAATCTTTGGGTGTGGAGTTAGAAAGAAGTGAGCTGAACTGACCTTTTCTATCCACTTCTCACTTCTGCTTGAGGTTAGAGGCTCCAAGCTGCATTAGCCGATATTAGCATAACACCATCAGGATCTCTGACTGGACTATCTGTGTTTGAGTTGCATTAGGTGCCAGGTTTTAACAAGGAAGAAGAATGTATAGAATAAAGAAGATGATATGTCTGCTTCAGCTGCATCACTTTTGATCCTGTGCACCATGAAGAGTGCAACACTAGATCTTGGACTTGGTGCTCATGATGCTTTCATGGAGCTCAGTTTCTCTTCAGGCAACAGATAATACATACCCTCGGGTATACACCCTGGGCAGGTCACCAGTCTCTCACAGGGCTACACATGTGTATTCATTATAGTGTATTTCATCCATATTATATTTATTGAGTGTAAAATACACAAAATCTGGTGCATTTAAAAGATAATGCATAATGACAAATGTAAATAATTTTATATACTTGCCAGTAAACCTGTACTGATTTGGAGGGGCAGAAGCCTACATGTATAGTAAGTGACTAGTGTTATAAAACCTCCCTAAATGTTTATGGTTACTATGTACTTCTACTCTAGTATATCCTACTGTAAGATCTCATCAACATAACAGTGGAAATACTCTACGTTTTCCACTTGTGTGCAACAGCAGATTATATGCACAATATGCTGTAAATGTTTAATCCTGACAAGGTTTGAATGAAGCTGTGATGACACATCACCTTCTTATTTCAAAAGAATTAGGAGTCAGGCTTCTATATGAAATTAAAAATGTTTTTACTCATAACTGAAATATGTTTTAAATCATTTTTACAACTCCTCTTTAGAAGTTTTTATAGATACCACACTTGATTGTATGAGCAAAATGAGTTAATTATTATTTTTTTGTAATCATTCCTTGAACGCTGGGTGGCATATTGGTGCGGTGGTTAGCGAGGTCACCTCACAGCAAGAAAGTTCCAGGTTTGAGCCTGGGCTGACCGGGGGCCTCTCTGTGTGGAGTTTTGTTAGAAAAAGTTAACAATGTGAGACAAAGGAAACTGAGACTTTTGAAAATTATCAAGGTAGCTTTTAATATTCTTGCAAAAGGGAGCTTTTATATCGAACACTTAAGAGTGGTCTCTGTGAAAATGCTCAAAGGGGCAGCCCCCTCAGGTATTTTCTATACAGTACAGTGCATAGCTTATTGCTGAGTTGTTATCTTAGTTCCACCAGCTTAGCCTCTCCGCCCTAGGCGTGGTCAGTGAGTCGTTGTGTGTTATCTTGTCAGAAGACTGATCATGTCTCATGACCTTTTTAACTGGAGATTACACATCTGTTCATAAATAGCATGATTAACGCAAGAAACGGCTGTGTTCAGTATTTTTTTCTATCAAGTTTGCATGTCCTCACTGTGCCTGCTTGGCCTCCCTGCCCCTTTGTTTGTTTGTTGTGTTTCGTTTTTACAGAACTGTGTTTAAATAAATGGAATGTGTGCGCACTTCAGCTTTAAAAATGTCAGAAATGAAATGCTTGCATGTTGTTGGAGTGTGAAGGAGTCAGAATGGTCACATTGCCTTGTTCTTTCTTTTTCGCTTGAAATCATATAATCACAAAGATGATTAAAAAGTAGTGCCTAAAATAGTCAAGCAGCATGCGTAAAAAAAGTCATGTTGGCTGTGTAGCTGACCAGAGTTTACTTTACATGAAACCTAGCTGTTTGCTCCATAGAGGAGGGAGGGGCAGGGTACCTGCAGTTTGTTGTGTGTTCCACCCTGCGGAGTTTATAGTTTTTCAATAGGGCATATTTTAGTGATGCACATATTCCTCCCGAGGGAGTTTGTTGTTGTTTTTCAGTGGGACATGTTTTAGTGATACACCGCTAGTAAGTTTAGCATGAAAACAGTCACAGGTTGTCTCTTCTTCGAATTTACGTATTGAGCCATCCACTTATCTAGCATAGCACGACAAACCGTGGAGCATATATTTAATATATATAAAAATGTAGAGCATGCACCACAAACTGCAGGCAACTGGAATGTTCTCTGTTAAAACGTGTTATGTATTAGATATTTTTGTTTATTTTATGTAATGTCCATTTGGAATAGCATTGTGTAAATACTTTTGTTTGGGAAACAGGTTTGGAAACTCAGATGTCCGAGTTTTCCACGTGTCCTTAAACGCACCGTGCATTCGTGGATCGTGTAAAATGTGTTTTATGTGCAGTTTGTACAGCATGCATTTGTGAACAGCATGACACACACAGAAATGGCTTTATACGTGCAGATTGCGCAGCACGCATTTGTGAACCTCATGACACACACACACAAATCACTTGTTACAGACAAAACGTTAAACACGCATTTGTAACATTTTTGATAGTATTTTATCTCCATAGCTATGGGGCCCATGCAGAGAAGGGTGGGAAAAGAAAGACTTAGTGGCGCGCCTCCACTTTCCAAAACCATTTGACCGCTAACTCCTCACTCCCCTCATTCTTTCTCCAAGCCTGTGCGTAATGGTAGAGCGAAAGATGAACTCTCTGGTGAAATGGGCGCTCATCCTCTTTGTCCTCGTTTCCATCATTCTCAACATAGTCCTGATCAGCATCCACTCCAGCAGGACGCCCAGATGTGCTGCTCAGAGGGTTCACCCGCTAAGGGGCAAACACGACGAGCGTAGTCTTGTGTTCGCTGACCTCACCCAGGAGGAGTACTTGCAGGTCCAGCAGTACATGTTAAAACAGAAGGACTTAGACATATCCACCAAGCAGACCACCAAGCCATCGCATAATTTCTTGTTCGTTATAGACCTCTCTCTGCCAAAGAAAGCCGAAGCGCTGGCCTACTTGGAAGGGACAGGCCCCGAGCCGAGAAGAGAGGCGACGGCGGTGGTCTTCCACGGCGCCCAAAAGCTCATCAAGGAGTACGTAGTGGGGCCTCTTCCCAATCCGACAGAACACAGAGATGTCACCATGGAGAGGTACAAGATGGATCTGCCTATCACTGCGCGCACTGTCACCGTCGGAGAATACATTTTGCTTTATGAGTTTTTTGAGACTGAAAGTCACCGTCGGAGAATACATTTTGCTTTTCAAGTTTTCTGAGACTGAAGTCTTCTCCAAGCTGCGGACGCTTTTGAAAGAGAGTTTTGGTGTGGGCAAGGATAAGAAGCTGGACGCCTTTGAGCAGATGCCCCGTGGAGTCCGATCCGGGGACAGAAAGACCTGGGTATCTTTCTTCAGGGAAATGAGCGGCATGTACATCCACCCGGTGGGCTTAGAGGTGCTGATCAACCATGAGAGCCTAAACGCGTCTATGTGGAAAGTGGAGCGGCTGTTCTATAACGGCCAATACTTCGACACGGTGGAAGAACTCAGAGAGAAATATAATGCTGGCTCTGTGAAGAAAATCGTTTACAAGGAGCCGTCTGACTATGGTTCTCTGAAACCCAGGAACAAGACTCTGCAGGTCAGCCCGCAGCTGTTTTACGCAGAAGGGAAGCGCTACAGCGTCAGCAAGAACCACGTCTTGTACCTGGACTGGAGCTTTGCCTTTGGGCTGAGCTCTCTCACGGGCATGAGGGTGTTTGATGTGCGGTTCAAGAATGAGAGGATAGCCTATGAGCTGAGCGTGCAGGAGGCCATGTCGACGTACGGTTCGGTGACACCGACGGCAATGCTCACCAAGTTTCTGGATTCCAGCTCCGGGATAGGGCGCTTCGCACACGAACTGGTCCGTGGTGTGGATTGCCCTTATGAGGCCACTTACGTGGACACATACCGCTACATCGATACCCCAGTCCCGGTCAGATTTAGGAATTCAATCTGCATCTTTGAGCACAACATGGGTCAGCCCCTGCGGAGGCACTTCGCTGACTTTTTCCACAACAGTTATGGTGGGATGGTGAACAGCGCCTTAGTGTTCAGGACCATTACAGCTATAGGAAACTATGACTACGTGTGGGATTTCATCTTCTACCAGACCGGATCAGTGGAGGCTAAGGTGCACGCCACCGGCTACATCACCTCCTCCTACCTGGTGGACGGTAGTCTGAAATTTGGACACCAGGTGGCGGACAAGGTCCTGGGCAATATCCACACCCACTTCATCAACTTCAAAGTGGACCTGGATGTGTCGGGTGAGTGGCAGTAGTTTAGTCTATTCATCTCTGTATCTGTGCAGGGCAGACAGTAATAGCAATATAAAAACAGGTTAATTATAAAGGTCTGTTACCCCTAAGAGCAAAATATCATGTCACTTCACCAGTGTTTCATGCTTTTGTCATGGCCATGGGACTATAAGGAAGGGCTTTAGCCAGGGTGTTAGAAATATTAAGCTCATGGGTTCGAGACTTACACAGAATTAAAAACTTAATAATTTCAGAATTACACATTTTGGTAACACTTTATAATAACTACACCTTATTCATCCTTAGTTAACCATGAATAAGTACTTAATTAATGATGAGAAAAGCATTAATTAAGCATGACTCATACTTAATAACACATTCACTAACGATTTACTCCTGGTGACTAAGGTCATGCATAAGGTCGTTATTCGCTGTTCATTCATACTTAATAAAACATGAATAGATGATTTATTAATACTGCAATGCATGAATATGTCAGGGAGTTGTTAATTGTTAGTTACTGTTTTTTGTGATCCCTTCTAAAGTGAAGACTGTTTATGGTTTATTAAGCATTAATTAATATGTAAAAAAGTACCTCAAGCTCTTTTGAGCTGTGGAAATGCAGATCTGAAACAGTCAAAATCAAGACATGACACAAGGATACCGAACATATTTTTTGTATTCAATTTTTGCTTATTCATGGTTAACTAAGGATGAATAAGGTGTAGTTATTATAAAGTGTTACCCATATTTTATATGGTTAATTGGAGCAGGCTACACAACACACAAAATAATGGGGTTAAGGTATCAGTGCCCTGTAAATTTCATCCTGTCATGGTGATGATTGTTGATATTTTGCAACAGTAAAGAGAGTCCTATGGAAATTGGTTTCCAGCAGCAACTGTATTTTCCTGCCTTGAAAATGTCCAAAACAGGCTGATTATTTGATTTCCCATGCACTTCTAAAGCCATATATAGAGTAAAAACTAGATGATTCACAGAATGTTGTCATTGGCTAATGTGATAACTCAAACCCTAAATAGATGTTATATAGGCCAAGTGATGTGCTTGATGTCAGGCCTCTTAAATGGAACAGGTTTCAACAATGGCCAATCACAGAACCTGGCTGTGTGCCCATTGTGATTTGATTTGAAGATTAAAGCTGGATAAGCAAATATACTGTATGTACAGATGCAATATTTAATTGTCAGACTGCATAGTCTGAACCGAGACAATGAATCTGTAAAGCTAAAACAGGACGTGAACTAAAACACTCCACTGAGCTGAGGGGAACTACAGAGTTGGTGTTAGTTCCATGTGGGTTCATCACTAGACAGTCATTACACATAGTCACAGTCCATTGTGGGCACAAAAATATCTATTAGTGCAGCGTTATACATTTTTAAAAATAAAATAAAGTTAAAAAAATAAATACCTGACATGGATCAATAGTAGATTCATATTCCCATTGTAGCTCTATTCTGGCTACAGAAAACAATTATTGTTACAAACATGTTTGCATCCTTTTCTCTGCAGGTTTGAAAAATGTGTTCCAGACCAAAGACATGCAGTATGTTAATGTGTCACTGCCTTGGATGCCTGATCGCCACGCGATGATTCCTCAGCTGGTGGAGCGTCAGCTTAAAACAGAACAGGTCTGCCTTGAACCTCATTCATTTCCTTAAAATATCCACTTCGATTTAAGTTTCTTTTAACAACAGTGAAAGAAGCATAATAGGTACGGGTAATGGAGGTCATGGACAACATGATGTGTTGAGATGCCAGAATGTCTTAAAGAGGTATTTTTTTCAAAGATTGCATATGTATGGACAGTATTATCACCATTTACTTCTAAAATGAGGGGAATCTATTTTAAATGACATTAGCATTAAACAAAATACTTAACTGACCATTAAAAAACTATAATCCCAGAATATGGGCTATCCAGACATTGTAAAAGTATTAATGAATGATTCTAAATTGCAATTTATGTGTCTGTTTTACATTTTTGAATCTTCATACTCACAAGGTACAATTTTATTACATATACTGTAGATGCTGTAGATCACTGTGTGAATGTGCATATTTATGAGAAGAAATACTACACTGAGACTATTGTGAATATTTATGCAGAAAAAAACACTGTTTATATTAATGTAACATTTTTCCATGTTTTCATGTTTTTGTTTGGTAAAGCATATGTCGTACTCTTAAAACAAACTTTAGGGGATACAGTGTGTACTGCATGTACATATCCCCATACAAGGGGCAAGTAAACAGTAAACCAGCTGTGTAATATTCATACCATATGTACTATTCTAAGAATTTTTAAATCCACCATTGTTGTTGTAACCCTTGACCCCTGCACAGGAGGCAGCACTGCGTTACGACTCCAAGACTCCACTACCTCGCTACCTCCACATCGCCAGCAACCTGACCAACCGTTGGGGCCACCAGCGCTCCTACAGACTGCAGGTGTTCAGCTTTTCAGGTGACCACCTCCCAGAGAGCCAGGCTGAGGAGAGGGCCATGTCCTGGGCCAGGTGAGACTGCACAGACAGAGTGGAAAAACATCACAGTTTCAGATGTTAGGATTGTAATTATTTTTTGTTTTGATGATTAAATGTTCTGTTAGATAAAACGTGTTGTACAGATACTCACAGGAGCAAGAAATATGACCTCCAGCAGGCCCAGTAATATCTTGGATTATATTTATTATAAACAGCCAGTAGATGTCAAAGCATGTCAAAGTAGCAAATTTGCTGAACACTAATGAATTATGAAAATAATGGAATTATTCAAAATATTTGAACATAAAAATGAACATTAAGTGAGCACTAATTGCTCCTCTTATTAAATAAAAAATGTCCACAGCTAATAAAAAAAAACTAATTGCCAAAAAAATAAAAATAAAACATACACGCACACAAGCAAGGCTGCCTGCAGATGTGTTGGCAGACAATTTTTTGCTTATTGCCCTCATGAGTGGCCAATCAGTCTCACTAATCTAAAGTCACCTCTCACTGCACCTCTTCTGTCTGTCTCCAGGTATAAGGTTGCCATCACCAAGCACAAGGACTCCGAGCAGACCAGCAGCAGTCTATATAGTCAAAACAACATCTGGACTCCAGCTGTTGACTTCAGCCAGTACATTGAAGACAACGAAAGCATTGTAGACCAGGTATGTTGAGATGGAGTCTAGGTGTAAAAAAACAAAACAAAAACGAATATAAATTCATTTTAAAACCTTAAACTAGATAACTCACCTAAATGAATTAGCATGATTTGTGTGTCCCCAGGACCTGGTTGCCTGGGTGACCACTGGTTTCCTCCACATCCCTCATGCTGAAGACATCCCCAACACAGTAACTGTTGGCAACGGGGGCGGGGTCTTGCTGCGGCCCCACAACTATTTTGATGAGGACCCATCCATCTACTCTGCTGACGCTGTGTACTTCAGCCCGGGCAGCGAGGACAGCTGTGACACCAACAGGATGGCCTGCCTTGCTAAAGAGACCTGCAGTCCTGTGCTGGAACCCTACACCTACCATGGCTTTGATGGCGTCATGAAGTTTGATGAATGGTCCTGATTTATTGAGCACTGCTAGGTAATAGCTTCAGTGCCCTGATGAACTCAGAGATGTGCTTGGGCTGTTTTCATCTATCAAGAAACTTCTGTCAATGTTAACATGTATATAGAAATAGTTTGGTATGGCAAATTGTCTGTGCTATATGAATTTTAAGCATGAACTTGAGAAATTTTTATGTTAGAACAAGGGTTTTCAACCAGTGGTCCACAGCCTTCTGGTGGTCCACAAAGGCACTGCAGGTGGTCCCTGATCATGCCTTCAGGAATTCACTGTAGGGTTTTTAAAATGAGTTTTTTAGACTCATTTTTATGAATTACTTATTGTTTGTGAAGAATCAAATTCATGCAATTATACAAAATATAAAAAAGCAAAGGTGTCTGAGAAATAAAATATTGCTCATCTGGTGTAGCCACCCGACAACAATGGTCTTTGAGTTACCTCTTAGTCAGAATGGAGGTCCCTGGACCACAATAAGTTGAAAACCCCTGCATTAGAAGAGAATGCTAATTTTCTTTCTTTCTGAGATTGACATGAGGAGAGTGATACCATTCTCTGTGTTAAATACAGAGCTGGAGTCAGGATATGACTTGACTGGAAGCTTTAAAAATATGTCTGCTAGGAGTGGAGGAAAACATTGATTCACATGAGAACAGCGGTTCTTAGTCTCTGTGATTCACAAATATGAAAAGTTTGTTTTTGTATGTGGCCCCATATCTGCACACTCCTATTTTCATATTTCACAGTCAGCACTATTCTCCAACACAGTGGTCAAACGTGCTGGACCCATCTGGTCAAAACTCATTTATTTTAGCTTCATCTTATTAATTAAAGAATGTGCTGCTGGTATTTATCATGTTCTTTGCCAAAGATGAATCTTGCAGCTTTGTGAGCATTGGTTTTCTTTTTGGATGCTGCCAATAGAGGCTGACTTCATGCAACATACTTCACACTGTCTGATCAGTCACAAATCATCCTTGTGCCAAATCAGAAGCTCTAACTTGTCTGTTTTTCAAAGACAAGGTTGTGTAAATAGTGACTGGTATGTGGCACCATTTTTTGAGGTTGCTCACGGAACCTTCTGTTATTGATAGTATGACGCTTACTACACCTCCTGACCACAGCTGAAGGTGCTTCAGCTTCTGTTCAGTAGCTACTGATGTTCCAGTGCCCTCTGCCATCTTTAGGAAGTCTCACAGTCTGGTTTCTTACTCGTTCAGGCCGTTACTCACCACGTGGAAATATTTTGCAATAACTTTAGTTGAGAAAAATATGGTGTTCACAGATTCTTTTAAAATTGTGTAAATGCAGTTAGACTAATCAGGTTTTGACTCAGGTCTGTACTTTTGGCACAAGATTCATGTCAGTCTTCTCCTCTCACTCTCGAAAAGAAAATGCGCAAAATGGTAAACTGTTCTTTTAAACTAGGCCAAGTTATTCATCTGTATGACCATGAAAATCTATAGTGTGCGTGTGTGTGTGTGTGTGTGTGTGTGTGTGTGTGTGTGTGTGTGTGTGGTGGGGGATTCCTTCACTAAGTGTTCTCTACAGATTCATACAGATCTACAGATCCAAATTAACTACACAGATGTCTCCCTGAAATAGAAGGAATTGTGGCTGCCCATTGGCTACCTCTCAACACACAAGCTTACAAATATATAGTTTCATTTTTAAAAGGCTCAGTAATTTTCTAAAGTGGCTGGTCATTGTAATTTTTAACAAACATTACTGAAAGAGAAGGAATTAGTGCATTTGCCAGCGATATTTCAGCAAAGAATGACTGTGTTTGGGTTTGAGTCAAATTAGTGTGTGTTTGTTCATGGTAAGGAAGGAACATGTCACTCATTGCAAGAGTGTGGCTTACTGATGTGTTTGAAATAGTTTTTTTTAGTTCTATAGCGCAGTTTTTTTTTTTTTGTTCTATAGCACAGAGGAATAACAAATATCAGGCTGTGGATACAAACACATGATCAACCTACTGTTGGTCTGGGTCTGTTTAAAGGATTTGAAAATAAGGAATATCACTAGACTTAAACTTTAAACTGAACAAAATATCCAAGGAACTGACATTAAATTGTGAATGGACTACACTAGCATACTATAGTAGCATGCTTCTACCTTGAGCAGCGCTTTACAGTTAGCTTCTGACTGAACCATTCACATGCAGAGCTGCCACACTAGGTGCTGGCCTGCCCATTGGGAATAACTTGGAGAAGCAACTTGGCATGTGGATATGAGGAGCTGGGGGTCGACCCACCCCCTTTACATTTATAGTACACAGCCTACTCTACTTCCAGAGCCACAGCCATACTGTCACAATAGTATATACAACTAGAATTACCTCTACAAGGTTGTATGCCTTCACCAAATTCATGGGAATGGGACAGATGTGAGGTCACTGATCTTGACTTTTGACAACCAAAATCTAATCAGTTCATCTTTGAGTCCAAGTGAACATTTGTGGGCCCTGCGATGGACTGGCGACCTGTCCAGGGTGTACCCTGCCTTCGCCCGATTGCTGGCTGGGATTGGCTCCAGCCCCCGCGATCACGTTTGGGACTGAGCGGCATAGAAGATGAATGAATGAACATTTGTGCAAAATCTGAAAAAAATTCACTCAAGGCATGAGGGAATTATATTCCATATTTGAAATATTATATTGTGTAATAACATTTATGGCCCATCCTTAGAAGTTTTTACACTGTACCCACCAGACTTGCTGAGCAAAATGAGAGATTCATCTTTTCTTGTAACCGCCGCATAGCTAAAACTACTACAGTCTAATACAACAGTCCTGTAATAAATCTTCCTTCATGAAGCATAATGTTCAGGTATTGCTCAAGCTGTTTTAGAGAGGTGCTAATTCAACTGTATGATTTTGGAAGATGTAGTTGTGCTCCTGGTGAATTATAGAGAAGTGTTTCTGTTATTTTGTCCACACCATTTATATTAATGAGTCTAGGCAAAATAACAGAAACAGGTCTCTGTGTAATCTCTAATCTGACAACACTGGTTCATAATGTTACATGTTGTGTTTCTTTTAACTGTATACTTCATGGCTTTTCCTAAGTAAATGGGAAATGCAGTTGAACCTTTCTCACTTTGTAATCAATTACAGATTAAAAATTCTGAGTTATTAAGACTCCCATTTATTGATGCAACAAACTGGTTTAATTGGTTGGCACAATTTCAGTTTTCACTATGCTGATATTTTAGGTTCCTAAAACCTTGAATTTTTGCTTAAGCCAAAGAAACAAGTTTTGCTTTTTGAATTATTTGTGCAAATTTAATAAAGTGGAGTATATTTCCTGATACACATGTATTGGGTTTTTAGCAGGTGATTGTGATTTTTTTAACACCAGTAAATATCAAAGTTTCTGGTGGTTCAAGCTCAGTCTATTTAAAAAAATAAATACCGTAAAATCCGGACTATTGAGCGCACCTGAGTATAAGGCGCGCCCACTAAATTGGTACATATATAGGCCACACTTGTCCATAAGCCGCAGGTGTCCACGTTGTAACATGAGATATTTAAACAGAAAGATGTTGCACAGCTTTTGTCGTCTTTTTGGATTGAGTCAGTTCTTCGGGTTGCCATCTCCAACGTCTCATCATCCATTCATTGATGCCAAGCTTACGTGCAGCACCTCAATTTCCTTCTTCAACAGCCAGATCGATCGCCTTTAACTTGAAAGCTGCATCATATGCATTTCTTCGTGCGTTTTCCATGATGATGGTATGTGCATGAGGCGCAAAATGACTGATCTGAAGAATTTAGTGTGAGTGCATTTGATTTAATTCGAACAGTTTCATTGGTCCACTGTGAACTGTTGGGTAATTTCATCGGTCTCATGTGACGAGGCTAAATGTATTGGCGGCACGAAGCTCGTTAGCCCGTAAAAATCCATAAATTAGCCGCATCATCAAGCCGCCGGGTTCAAAGCTTGTGACAAAAGTAGCAGCTTATAGTCCGGATTTTACGGTAGAACTGATTCCACCAGAATGACCTGGCAATGTGGGAACGGATTTGATGCAACACTCAGAGTATGTTTAGGGAGATGCAAATTTCACAGTTGCTCACAAAATAGGGGGTCATGTTTTTTTATCTGGGTCAAAAGGGAAGGCAAGGCTAATCTGGAAGTACCCAAGATTAAACATTAAATGGTTGGAAATGAGTATGTGATGGCCACTTTAAATGGATTAAAAAAGAAGAAGAAACAAAAAAACATGACCCATGTTTCCACACGGATGAATTTATGTAAAGAACACACATTTGCGCCGCCTCTTTTGAGTGCAACTCAATATAATGTCAATGTAGATATGTGAGAGTTTGAAAGTTTTTTCGATTTGTGGATGATAGTTCATTTCGAAAGCAGAAGTAACTGTATATAGTATTTAATGTCGCTGAAGTTTTGAAAAGATGTTTTAAGTGACACTAAATCAAGGAAGACGAGTTTCTTGCGGATTTTTCTCATAAGTTTTTTTTAAACCATGGCTTGTGAAGGAAACGGGATGTCAGGTAAGTTTGAGAAGGCAACAGTTAACTTATAGTTTAGGCCACATTAAAGTAACCTAAGATGACAGCCTTTTCACTTAATTCACTTTATATCTGCACATTTTATCGTCTGTATTAGCTGGATGCTACTGTCACAACATTGTAACAGTTAGCGAGCCCGTGGTTATAACGATGCAGCTATAACATTTTAATATGTTAACTAGTATAACGTTAGCTACACTAATTTTGTTTTTTTTTCTTCAACAGATGAGAGGATAGGAGCTGCCCTGATAAGGGAGTGAGTGTCCCTTCATTTTTAAAACGTTTCACACAATGACATTGAATAACTTTGTGAATAAACAAAACAGCGAAGTCTCCCAGCTCAAAACAAACGATCATTATTGTTTTTACACTATCAGATGTCATTTTAGGTAATTTTTTTGAGCATTTAATGCCTATTTCCAGTATTGAATAAGTTCTTAAGTATTAGGTTTATCAATTAATCAATTACCATAGTCTAAACACGTACAGAAATCTTGGATAAACATTATCACAAGTTTCTGGAGCTCATGGTAACATTTTCAAATAGCTTATTTTGTATGATCAACAGTCCAAAACCCAAAAGGTGTTGTTAAACAAGAAAAGCAACATGTTATCTCATTTAAGAAACTGTTACTTAATTGATAATACAAACATTTAATCTTTTATTTATGTTATTTTTATCTAAATCGTTGCTTGGCTAACGGCAAGGCAAATTTATTTGTATGGCACTTTTAAATGATGTCCCATTCAGATGAATAGGAAAGTTTGTTTGTTTGTTTAATTTGATCCACATTAGCTGCTGCATCAGAGTAGCTATCATGAGATCCTTTTACATATATACAGTACATACTAATAATGTATCGATACCAGAGTATGGTCTGTTACCACCCTCTAGTACTTGTACTCGTAAAACTTGTCTGATACTACGAACCATTTAACAGCAACATTACATTCTGGGCAGGGGCTGTGAAATCATTTCACCCTAACAGAAGTTCTCATGCCTAAAATATTCAAAACTACTGTTTTACAGTATATTGTGTAGTAGGCTACAGAAATTCAGTCAATTATACATGCTATATTCAGTAGGAATGGTGGCATTGCTGTGTTTTCTTATTACATGTCAGCCATGTGATAGACAGGCGACCTGTCCAGAGTGTACCCTGCCTCTTGCCCAGTGTCAGCTGAGAGGCATGTTTGGGCAGAGATCCGATCTCTGTCCAAACATGCCCACCAGGACAATAGGCGTCGGCCGACAGGGGAGGATTCAAAGACAGGTAACGACTCTCACTGGTACCGTGCTATAACGACCCCGTTAAGAGACATTGTTGGCCTTCAAAGGACTGAAACACCACTGAGAGGGATAAATATCTCTGGCTCAACACCAGTCAGTCAGAACTGATGAAGCCTCTTGGATTGAGAGGTGAAACGTCTTCGACCTAGAAACCTAGTCCAGTTTATTTTTTTCAAAGTTTTTTTTTTTTTCCAGCTTACTATGACCTGGATGACTGAGAATCTGCACAGACATACCTGTTTCAACATTTTGTAGTCAGACGATTACCTGGGCAAACAAATTCAGCCACTTTCAACAACTATGAAAAGAACTGTCATTTGCTGCCCTGGCCTAAAACATGTAATTTTCTCACCCCAAGAAATACACGGGTCTTGTGCTCTTTAAGAGATTTTCAGCATCATAGGTTTGCATTTGACAAACCATACATTTTCTAACCCAACTTTGCATTGTTAAATTTATTATTTAGCTAAAGCAAGTTTCATTTTCACTTTCATTTTGCAGTAACAGCCCTACCCTCTTACAGTAAATCATGCCATTCATAATCCATGTGCTGTATCAGTGTCTTGAGTCAGCCTCTGGATTATTTATCACTTCCTGTCAATTTAAACATGCACTGAAATTAGCATTATCACTTTTTACCATGTAAGTAAGTGCAAAGTTACTAAATTCATCGACCCAGCAATCATAATCCATTAGGGAATAGCAGGTTTGGGAACGCCTAATATCACAGTCAGCAATTTAAGAGATTAATTTAATGAGGATACATGCTCGCACCGAATATGGTTTCACAACTACTGGTGCATAGTGTGCATTGGTGTGGTTTCAGCTGGTTGCACACCTCCCAACGTTTGTAGCTTGGTGCATGCCATCCGTGGTGCAAGGCTGGAAAAATAGTGTTATACCCCAGTTCTTTTACTGGACAGATCTGAGTAAGGAAGGAGTCCGTCTTTCTTGATTTTAGTGCTGGTTTATTTACAAAAATATGTATATATAAAAGGATTACAAAACACAACCCAGGGCTCCCTCCTTCAGACAAGCTGCTGGAGAAGAGCAGGAAAAAAAGCACAGAAACACAGAGCCTAATACATTTATCAGTTTTGGGCTAACCCCTTACACAGATGAAGTCCGTCCCG